ATAGGGTGACCAGAGATCATAATAAAATACATGAAAACTACATTGCTTGGCATGCATGTGCATACTTGCACAAATAGGCCTAAGAGATTTTATGCAAAATTGTATTTTATTACCTGCCATCTGACAAAGTGATTTTACACATAAAACTATATAAAAAAAAATTAAACAAAGTTTAATAAAACAAAACTACTCCATATCAGATGAAAACATATCTTAAAATAAATTCTAATGAGCAAACCTTTAACTCTGTCATGCATATCAACTCACTACAGAGTCCAATAATCAGATCTATCAAGCCATTTTCAAAAAACAATGTTTCTTTAAATTTACTTTCTGTTCTTTAACTTCAGTCACACCAGGAAGGTCTACCCCGTGCAGAGTTTGCACTAACAATTATAGGCCATGCCCCCCTACTTGTCATGATTGTTATTATCATGATCATCTGGTCACCATTTCATCAAACCACAGAAGAGATCTGCCATAAAACAGATTTAAAGCCTGAAAGCTCCAAAGTAAATATAAGAAAATAAAACCCAAACCCCTCACAATGTCTTATGCAGAGTAGAAAAGCAGGGCTGGGGCATTCCTTTATAGACCAAAAAAGAAGCAGATGAAGCCTTGTCAGTAGTAGTAAGAGATCACATACAGACACACACCCATATCCACACACAGCCTGCAATTACCTCAGACTATAATCATACAGTGGAGCACTTCAAACCTAACCTATATTATAACTATACACAACCTAACACAATAAATCAGAAAAAAAGGATAGATAGACAGCAAATAAGGTGTGTACATGCAAAGCGTGATTTCCATGTGGTGAAGGACCACGCTGACAGGAGAGTGTAACAGCGCCAGTTTCAGTCATCTCTCCAGTCCAAAAGGCCTTAATGGGTTTTTGTGTCGGTTTGTTTGTTCTAGAGGCCTTTTGCCAAATGCCTGTCGGCATTTATCTGTCAGTACAGTAAGAGCGTGACAAAAAAAAAAAAAGCACACAGGATGAGCGATTGTGTTCTGGGTGTTATTCTCGCTCTATTTATCACCATCAACGCTATTAAGCCCAATGCTAAAGCAAAGAGGCGAAAGCACAAATCAGTTCAACAGGTTCTGTCAAACCTGTTAAATGAGTTCAGGGAAGCATCACAGATGCATACACACGCTTGACTATATTCTGCCTGGATCTTTTGCCATTTGATAAGTTAAATTATTGGCTACAGCACAGAAACAATTTACCAAATTAATTAAAACATGAAATATTATTGCTTTAACATGATGTTTCATGAATTTAACCAAGTAAGAATGAAAGTATTTCAAGTACACTCATGCTGAAAGCAATGGTCTGGAGATGTTCAGACTTGTACGTGCATCAAGGATGAGTACGAAGACACAAATGAATATTTCCCTCTGCCAGCAAAGATGGAAAAAACAAAGCAATTAGAACAATCCAGGATTAGATATAAATAAACAGAGCAATGCGCTAGAATTCACTGTGGAAGATTACATTTGAACAAAGTTCAGAAAACCTAAAGGGTAAGCCAGCTAAAGATTCATTCCTGGAATTAAGAGGAAGAAAACACAGAAAAAGTCTGCACCAGCTTATCGTTAAAGGAGTTTCAGAAAGACGTTTAGAGGAGGTAAAGTTAAAGGCCTCAAACTTCCTCTAAGGCCTTAACTCAGGCCTGAGTTCTGGGAGCCTGGAAATACAACTTTTCCCTACATCTGCCTCAAGCTAAAAATAGTCCATCTATGCAACACTCCCCTCTGAACCAAAAGTTTGAGTTTGGAAAGACCAGAGGGGTGGAATAGATGTTGAGACATCAGCCTGTGTGAGACAGATCATGCCTTTTCCAAAAGCAACCAACTTTTCCTGGCATTAGAAAAAGTTTTGGGGTTAAAGATGTAATCGTTTTTGAGAAACTGGTGGTGATTTGGGGGAATTAGACTGTATGTACAGTATGTAAAAATTATGTTGTCACTTCCCATTTAAAAGTAATGAGTTACTTGTCTAGATGTGCGTCATTTAAACATCCTCAGACAGTGACTCAAATCCCTAAACTAGTGTTTACTCTCCACGTCTGCTATTAGAGCACAGCCCACTGAGACCTAGAATTAAGTGTAGTTACTGACAGGAGAAACATTATTAGGATTGTTCACTGTTACTTAATCGAGTAGGTAGGGCTGGACAATAATTCAATGTCAATATGTATCGCGATATAATTTTTTTCAATAACGGTGATATGATTTTTAAACACATTTCCGATATTTCGATAAACATTACCAGTTTTATCACTCTAAAAGCGCCTCCTGCTGGCAGAGAATGAGTTTTCATTTTAAATAAGCCCCCGTAAATGGCGCATCATGCACGTGAGTTTATCTGACGGAGAGACGCAAAGCAGTTTAAAGCAGAGTCCTGCACGGGTCCTGTTAGGTAAACCTGCATTCGCAGTAGCTACACAACAGAACACACGACCCGTTATCCGACAGCAGCCAGCACCAATTTAATTTTGTACCCGACCCGTTTGACAACGACCGCGACCTAAACCGCACCCATAAGCTACTGCATCAGTAAGGCAAAATTATTCATTTTCTCATGTGACACAAGCAATCAAACCAAAATAGGCATTTTAAGTTGGTGCTTTGAAGAGAAATAGACCAGCAGAGCAACAGAGGAATGATAAGAACGCGCATCCTTCCTGTATAAAATACAGACTTTTGCCTACATCTTGTGAACAATCTGCCAGGCTGTTTTGAACAAATGTGCATAAACTACATACTTAAATCTTCATAAATGAAAAGAACATATTTAGATATGACTTTACTGTTAAGTGCTGTTACTGTTGTCTCCCTTAAACTCTGCAGTGTATAGGCTATGCGGCCGTTAGTCCTTTACAGAAGCATTAAAAATAAAATGATATAGGCTACAGAAAGCGAGCAACGAGAGCTCCCAGGCTGTCATTCACTTCAGCTGCAGCGCGACTGGCTAGAATGCGTAACGCTGCAAATCCAATGTTGAGGCTCCGCTATTAATATTGAATTTCATTAGTCCCACTTATTTATGAGCGTTTGTTCGCGGGAAAGTGAGCAAGACACGACAGTGGTTATAGTTAAATAAGATGAAAGACATAGGCTATAATATAAAGAAATTAGCTACATTTATTTTCAAATTAAATATCACAACACACATTTATCATTCAGTCTAGTGCGTTTTACATATAATGTAAGCCTTTCTATTTTAATAGATTTTAAAATGTAATTTATTCCTGTGATCATGCATAGCTGAATTTTCAGCAGCATTCCTCCAGTCTTCAGTGTCACATGATCCTTCAGAAATCATTCTAATATGCTGATTTGCTGATTATCAATATTTAAAACCGTTGAGTAATTTTTTTTTTTCAGGATTCTTTGATGAATAGAAAGATCCAAAGATCAGCATTTATTTGAAATAAAAAGCTTTTGTAACATTATACACTATTCCATTCAGTATCAATTTTATTAATTTTTTGGGAAAGAAATTATAGAAATGAATACTTTTATTTAGCAAGGATGCTTAAAATTGATCAAAAGTGATGATAAAGGCATTTATAATTTTACAAAAGATTTCTATTTCAGATAAATAGTGTTCATATCGATATCGGAATTATATCGTATCGACCGAAATTAAGAAATATATCGTGATATCAATTTTGGCAATATCGTCCAGCCCTACGAGTAGGTGTCCTGCAGGTTGACTCATTAGAAAGCTTAAAACAATGGTGTAAATTTAATACTCAAATTGGTAAAAAAAACAGTCTGAGTGGGAATGTTCCCATCATAAGTTTATCTATGATACCATAAGCTTCTCCATAACAAAGCAAAAATATCAGAATCAAAATCATGATGAGTCTTAGGTTTTTGTGACCGGCATTGAAAATGGATCATCCTCTATATGACGCTGAAGGTGTTTATCATACATATGGAAGGAAAAACAAAGTAATGTCATTGTCAGTGGGACAAAAATACATTATTTATACAAATGGCAAAATATCTGTGGCTGTTAAACTCTTCAAATTCACCTGGCACAAACACCATTTTGAAAGATAACTAACAGATTGTGTTTGACATATTAAATGTGAAGGAGGGGAAAACAAACAAAATGACTGTGCAAATCCAAAAACTGCTGGGGGGCATGACATCGTCTCCCTCACATATGTTTTTAAAAGTCAACTCAGTGGTACGCCGAAGCAATTTTCTGCTTTCATAAAGTAAAATTCAAAAGGCTTTAAAAATCCTCGTAAAAAGCTCCACATCAAGTATTTCATATCTCAGCAAGAGTCCTTAACAATCATGCAAAGAGGTACAATACACGACAACCCCTGCCAAAAATCTACTTCCAACACGTTCTTTGGCTCAGGGTGGATGTTCCAAGCTTCTGTTTGGGCTCTAAGCCTTCCGAAAACATTCCCCCCACATTTTTGGCTTGCTACATAAATCTCATTCTTCCATTTGAGGCATGGAATAGTCATTAGTCATGATTACAGAAAGTAACTGCTAACCTTCTGAAGCAATAACACTAACCTGTTGAGTGCCAGAAATGAGTGTCAACATATCTAACACAAACAGAGTTTGTTGGGTAACTAAGCTTCTCAAGTGACAAGTTTCTCTCAACCAATTTTGCACATGCCTCAGGTCAAATTTTGAGTAAAAAACAATAATAACTGGAAAACAAAAACTAGTAAAGTATGTGCCACTTAAACTGCTAAACAAGTAAACGCTTGCTCTATCGTAGTTGACTTTTTTTTCTTCAAATCCGTTGACAGTTTGTCGCAGGCCACACCTGAGGAGGAAACCTGACACACATGCATTACCCAGAAACTTGCCTTCAAACTTCGCAAGAACGTCTCCCTAAAAAACCAGCTCTTCAGTCAAACAGAGACTTATCGACGTGACAGGGTGCTTATAAACCTGATATTTTACAGCAGCTTTGAGTCGCTGCCCGTTATCTGAGATCCGTCACTCACCCAGCAGCAGCAGTTTCACTTCTTTAGCGGATTTCTCGCCGTCCTCGCGCAGATTCCTGTCAATCATTTTGGAGCGCTCTGCCGCGGCTTTATCTTCCTGGCTCACAGTACAGCCCATGGTTCCGAATGCGCGCTTCAGGGCGACGGATTTATGAGTGTAGATGTAGGAGAAAAAACGAAAAGGTATAATAACCCTTTAAAGCGACTGGAGGTTTTTTTAAATAGTCTTCCGTGACTAACTTCCTCTTTTGGCTTTGAAAAAAAAATGCCTGTCGCAAGTCCAAGGAGGGGAAATGTCTTTAAAAGACTAGTAGATCCAAAACTGACGTTTTATACGTCCGAAAAATCTTTCAAAAGACGTTTAGGGATTGAAAAACAAATGTAATGTATATATTTAAGATACTCAGATTAGGACAACACCTGGAATGTTTTGACGTTTAAGGCTCCTAAGAGAAACCAAGTAACGTTAGCCAGACGCTGGAGTCTTACATCACGCGCACAGGGACGGAGGAAAACTCATATCCACAAATCCCAAAAGTTTCTTTAAAAAGTTGAGATCAACCCCTTGTGCTCAGGTGTTTAAAAAGCAAACCGAACGATGAGATAATCGGCGACGAGAAACTGAATGAATCGGAAAACGCAAAAATCCCCGTTGTTTTCTTGCTCGGTTAAGTCCGTTCACTGATCACCGAGGGTTTTGAATAATATGCGCCGTTAGGTAGCTAACGTTGAGCGGTCTCTGATTTCTTTCAGTGTTTCACAGCCGCCACACCCCAGGTCCGCTGAGAAGTTGCTCTCTGCCACACACACACACACACACACAGCAGAAGACAGTTCTGAAGTGTACAGGGCTCCTCACGCGTTGCCAGCCAGCCCCTCTCTGATACGCCCACCGCGGGTGCTCATGGGAAATGTAGTTTTTCCCGCAGTATTCCAGTTTAAAGAAAATATCAAGTACAGTGTTTCCCATACATTGATTTATTTGTGGCACCTGCCACAATATCAAAACTGACTGCCACAAATAGATTTTCCAAAAGGCTTTGACTTCGTTAAATAAACATGAGCACTGCACATTTCAAAATCGAAACCCGGTGCGGGTGTTTTTATATCACTGCATTTCTGAAGGAAACCGACTGTCTTCAGAAAATGTTGGATGTCATTTTCATGTAATGTCTGATAAAGCAGCGTTTGTGAGCGGCGCGCTGCTTTGTGTACAGCGTTACCGGGGAACCCTCGATCTCTACCGCTGCAACAGCGCCTCCTGCTGGCAGAAAATGAGTTTGCATATATATATGCCGCCACAAATAGAGTGCAAGTCTGTGGGAAACACTGAAGTATACTGTGTTTACACCCGAATTAACTTGAATAGCAAAATAAATAACAGCTAATTATAAAATTTTTATATAAAAAAAATTATATTTAAAGCGGTTTGGTAAGAATTTTATTTGTTATAATTTTATAAATTCATTTAAACTTTCTTTGTAAATTTGGTGGGCTATTTATTCATGTATTATACGAGCTAAACTATTTTAGGAGGTTTCTTTACACAAAATGACCTGTGTGTGTGTGTGTGTGTGTGAGAGATGTGTGTAGTACAGCTTTTCTCTTGTTTGCCCTTCAGTGGTGACAAATGACATTCTTTAGGGCCTCTTTTAGAAATGTCTTTTGTTGAGAATTATGTCAATATTGACGCACTGAATTCAGCATGTGTTCTGTATGATTTGCGCTTAGGCAGGAGATAAAACCTTGTTTAAAGTAAATGCTCGCAATGATTTTTCCACATGGAGTGCATTTCCATCGTTTGGCTAGCTAGAGCAAACAGCATTACTGCAGAGAGCTAGACCTTGTCTGTGTTTCATACCGCCCCCGTGTGTCTGAAATGATCTTAAGTCTTTACTTTAGACACCAGTTTAAATTCCATTTAGCTTATTTAACAGTTATTCAAAAAGTATTTTTTTTGAACTGTTAACAGTTGAGTTTAATAGCTGAAACTGTTGGTTTCTCCATCTTAAGTCTTTATTTCTAAACTCAGATAGAAAGACATGACTGTCAAGTTCCACCTTATTTTGCAACTGGAAATTTCTGTGAATGTGTGGGACTTTATTAGCGGCGATATGTAAATGATTAGAAGAATCGTGTAGTAAACGGTAAAACTATTTGCGCTACAAACCAATGTGTGAAATAATATGATAAGAAATACCATTTTGAAATGTCAAACACCATAAAGAGTTCTTTTGTAGCTACTACTGCTAAAAGAATAGGAAGCTAATGACACCGGAAGTATCGCACATTGAAGTAAGATACGGCAGCACCCCTTAAAGCTGCAGTCCCTAACTTTTTTTTGGTTAAAAATGATCCAAAATCAATATTTGAGCAAGTACATAACCAACCAGTGTTCAAAACTATCGCCTTACTTTAGCCAGATTCACAATGGTTATCTTATAATAATATTTTCTAATTTGAGTGGTACGGGTAGGTTTTCGCCGAAATTCGAGCATGCAGCTGCGTCATTACGTCACGTCTGTAAACATAAAGAAGTTGTCCCGGCTGCTAGGCTATCGCATGTGAGGATCCTGCAGCTGGAAGATCGTTAGCCTTTTCTCACAGCAGCTAGAATAATTAAATGTCAAAAAATCATTTTGATGGCGGATTGTAATCCAGAAAGGATTATATGAAACACATGTGAATGAAATTAAATTCTGATTACAGATAGCCAGGGATTACAAAAGATTTGTATTTTAAAGACAACCAGTTCGAAGGGAGCATAGTTTGCTTTTTGGGTTAAAAGAATTTCTTGGTATGAAATTCGAATGGTATGACAATTAGATATTAGACTGTACAGAAATTGAAATCTACACACCCACTATACTCATAGCCACGCAATGCTGATGTTGTTAACATTAATAATCTGAGAATAAAGTATAACAATAATAATTTGCGCGGCTTGATGTGATATGAGCTAATCGATCGTTAGATTAAATCACCATTGGTGGCGCGATTTTTTTGTAATGCTTTTTTCCTCAGTTGGTCAGAACAAACGTGGCAGACTTGTTCCTTGTTCAGATGACAATATCCGGTGAAAATTCTTATTTGGGTCATATATTCCCAGATGTAGGCTAGAATCTGTGATATGATTCACACCTGTGCGGTGACTGACTGCCACACATGCTCTTCAAAACATTAGATTCATCCGCGCTGGAGCCGTGCCCACTCACAACCCACGCAAGCTAGATAATTCCGTGAGTAACTGCAATTCCAAGTTTTCAAACAGAGATGACGACAAAGAGGCAAAGCTTTAAATAAGGTGGATAAACAGAACTGAAAGAAAGAGTATAAAAGTGTAACTGCATAATTTCCTTGTGAAATGAAATTTTCCTGGTGTCTTTATGGGTTATCAGATTATAGTTGGATAACACATGCAGGTAAACCGAGTTATAGGGAAACAAATTTAGATAAATTGGAGCAATTTCAGCAATGCCACAGAAGAAACATTTCAATTCTGAAAGTGAATCGCTCTTTCAGTGAATCGCTGTTTAAAGAACCTTTTTTTTTTGTCTCAGTTTGAAAAACAATTAAATAATCTAAAGATAGAACTTATAAATAACTTTTTGTCCAATAAAAAGGTTCCATGGGTTTTACAGGTTTTTCATTGTGCCAATAAAGTACCTCTATTTTAAAAGGTGTATTGAGGTCATATACATTCAACTGAAGTATCTTTTTGGAATTCAGCATGTCTGTCAGATCGAATGCACTCAAATAGATTATCTGCACATTTTCTTGTGACGAGGAAGCACAAATCATGTGAACATTTTCAGGAAACTGCTGCTTCAAGGCAATATTCTGTTTTGACATAAACAGCTGTACACTTAAGTGGACAATCAGCAGGAAGGAAAAGAGACCGCTGCTGACGGTGGAAGAGAAGATCTGTCGGTTTGCTCCCAGGAACTACTTTCAGACCACTGTGCCCTTGAAAAAGACATCTCAACCTGCAAGGTTGCTTTAGATAGATCTGCTAAATCGCATGTAAACAAAGCATTTAATAGCTCCCCTTTGTATTGTTCACCTGTTCAGTGAGCCACAGAGACATCAACTAAACACATGAATATGAGAAATACTGCTGCAGACGGAGATATTATTTATTCTTTTTTTTTTTATTTGAACATTGTTTACAGTACATTAACTGCCAGCAATGTACTCGATACTGAGAATAAAGAAAATAAAGACATAAACTGGCTTTTTAAAAAGCATTTTTAAAAATGATTACGTTTTAATCATCAGACTAAACATCATCTGACTATTTACAATATACAAACTATAGATGTGCTTATAATATAAAGGGTTTACACTTATGTACATTATTTATAAATGCTGCCATGTAAGTAATGAACTCATATAAACTGTTACAAACAGATGACACTTTCATTACATCACAAGGGAAACATCACGCTGACTGGACACAAGTACACAGCTGCTAAAAAGACAATTCAATTCTTCCCCCTTCTGCTACTTTGTGATACCTTGCAGATTTGGAGATCGTGTAACGGTGTGATCTGCAGGTGCTTGAAAAGTGCTACTGTCAGCCCAGACATCCGCTCAAAAGCTACAAAGCTGTGCGTGTGAAAGCCTGGGGATTGAAGCACAGCATCATGGGGGATCTTGATGTTCAGGGCAGTTTCTGGTGCACCACTGCTAATGCTCTAGTTGCAGCAATCAGACTGTGCTTTTATAAAGGGAACAATATTTAACCATGACTCATCATTGATACTAAAGATTCCTACTGATAGGAAGTTAAGATCTTACTGGTTAACGTGAACTACCATTATCATAAAATCATTATTTCATGCAGTGGATACATCAGACAGGAGTCATTTCTCATCCTCACAAACATTATGCTCGGTTTAAAAATAATCACAAACACTCTCAAATCAAAATTAAAATCTCTCTCAGTGAATCTCACCAAACGTCACCCCAAAATCAAATGACAGAAATGATCTTTTTAGCCTGTTATTTAATTTGAAATGATATTAAAAATGTATATGTCATATAATTGAATAGATATGTCCATCTGGGGCTGATAAGATTTATCAAATATTTTTGAAAGAAGTCTTTTAGTCTCAC